GGTCGCTGAGCAGCCGGCTTGCGCGCAGCGGCGCGCCGCTCACAGCACGCGCCGTGCGCGTCTCGGGGCTTTCGTACGCGACGCACCGCAGACAAAAAACGAGGAACGCCTTATGGTCGCCTCGCCACGCTGGCGCCACCACGTAGTCCGAGAGGCTGAACGTCGCGTCCGCAGCCACGAACTGCACGACGCGGTGCCAGAAACGCAAAGTAGCTCCGATCGCGCCACAGCCGCCGCCCGCGCGCAGCCAAACCGCGTCGGTCGCCTGCACGATGTGCCGGAAAAACTCCGGACGCGAGGCCGACTTCATCAACAGAATGGCGAGGTGGCTTGGCGTCCACAACGCTCCGCCGACCATGCGCTCCGCGGCGCGAGACACCTCCGCATCGAGTGCCGACACATCCAGTAACGCTTCCGGAGCCAAGAATCGCGCGGGCAGAGACACAGCCGACTCGCCGAGCGCCTCCGGCGCCGACGACTCGGGCGGAGGAGCCTGCGCCAACAGCGCGAGCAAGTGCTCCACTTGCGCCTCACTCCAAAAGAACAGCGCGCGCTGCAACTGCTCGACCGCTGACGCGTCCGCAGCCTCGATGCGCAGCGCGCGCAACAGCAACGCGAGGAACCCGCAGCCGTGAGTGGCGCGCTCCGCACGCGCAGGCAGCACAGCTTCTGCGAACAGCACCTCGCACAGCGCTAGTGCGACCGCGCGCCGCACCTCGCGCGGCGCAGGCTGTCCGTCTACGCACACGTACTCGCGCTCCGGCCGCGCGAGCTGCAGCGCGAGCAGCTTGAACAGCAGTCCGCCAGAGTCCGTCGCAGAGCGCAACAGTCCCGCGAGGTCCGCTGCGCAGTGTTTCGCGAGCTGCGCGAGCCGGAACGCGCCGCTGCCGCCACGCTCCGCGGCCCCGACGCTCTCGTCGACGAAAGGCAGTCGCGCCAAGTTTTCCCGGAAGCAAAGCGCGGCGTTCAGCAGCACTGCCTGGTTCGCCGAGAGCGTCTTCGCGCAGCCGCCCTCCAGCGCGGGTCCAAACAGGAAGTAAGAAAAGAGCAGCCCGGCGCGCGCGCCGAGGGAGAGCTCGTACAGCGACTCGCGCGAGTGGAACAGCGGCCCGCTACTCACGTGCAACACGGCGCCCGCGTCGGCGAACGCCGCGAGGCAGCGGTCCAAACTCAGCAGAAACTCGGGCTTGCGGAAGCCGTTCAGGTAAAACAGCCTCGCGAAGAACGCGAGCTCGAACTCGAGATTCGAGCCCGCGGCCGCCTGCAGCGCGCTCGCTTCTGCGGGCTCCACAGCCTCCGGCTGCGCGCGCAGCGCTGCGGCTGCCGGCGCGCGCAACAGCTGCTTGACGGCGACTTCGAACGCCACCGGCACGTGCAGAAAGTCCGAGACTGCGAAGGCCGCGGTTGCGCGGTCGTGCCGCACCGCGCAGTCCAGCCGCAGCCGCAACCAGTCGGTCACGTGCAGCGACTCGAACGAGTGCGTAGCCACGCAGACGGCGTCGACCAACTGCCGCAGCAGCACGCTCAGCTCGGACGCCAGTTGCTCTTCGAACAGCGCGGCGCTCAGAAAGCCCGCCAGGTGGTGTTGCAGCACAAACTTCAGCGTGCAGACGAGCCGCGGCTCGCGCGCGCGCGCAACCAGCTGCACCAGTGCAGCGCCCCCGCCGCACAGCGCCTTTGCCAAACTGCGAAACAGCTCGAGCGTACCCGCGTTCAGCACGAACGCGCGCAGCGCGAAAATCAGCAACGTCGCCAAGTCCTCGCTCGCGTCGTCCAGCCTTTCCGCCGCCGCCCACTCCGCGCTCGCGAAGAACGCGCGCCACAGCTGGTAGTAAAGGCCCGGGTCCAGAAAGGGCGTGTAGGCAAAAAGCACGCAGAGGAAGTTGCGCACGCGCGCCGCGGCGGCGGCTCGGTCCTCCCAGCGCGCGCAGAGGCGCTGGAAGTCCACGGCGCCGTCCGCGACGAACAGCAGCTTCGCGACGTCGGCCTCTAGTTCGCCGGTCTGCGCTACGCGAATCAGGTACTTAGACACAAGGGAAGACATGCGAGCCGCGCGCGCGTTCGCGACAAATTGCGAAAAATAGATTTTAAAAAAGCTACTCGAAGTGCTCCGGCTCGAAGTTCAGCAGGTCGGCGTACGACTCAAAAATTTTGCCCGCGCCGACCGCCAGCGCCATGCCTTCGCGCAGGCGGTCCGCGTCTTTCGCGCTGTAGTCGCACCTGTACACGTCTCCGTTCTTGCAGAGCGAGCGCACGAACTGGCACATGAACACGCCGCAATCGACCGAGTGCGTCGGCTGCTGCGGCAAGCCGCGCAAGACGACTTTGCGCCAGGCGCGCGCTTCGCGCGCGTGCGCGGACTGTGCCACAACTTTCTCGTACAGCAAGAAGTTCTCGAGCAACTCGCAAACGGCAAAGCCGGGGTGCGCGACGACGCTTTTTTCGGCGTGCGAGATCGCCTCGCCGAAGCCGTCGCGGTCCGCGAACAGCTTCTCGGCAGCCTCGCAGTAAGACTCCAGCGCGGAGTCGACCCAGACGATCGCGTGCTCGCGCATGTCCGTCACAATCAGAATCCAGTGATTTCCGCAGTAGTGGTAGGGCCAGCACACGAAGTCGCGAGCGAAAATGTCGAGCTGCTGCTTGCGCAAAAAACGCGACAGTTTGCGAAAAAGCTCGAGCGTCGAGGCGTGCGGCTCCGCGTCGAAGACGGCAGACTCGCAGACCGCGTGCCAGCGCTTGAGCACCGCTGCGAAGCTCAGCGGTTCCGCGCCCGCCGCTGGCGTGGTCAGACGCAGGTGCAGCTCCACTTGACTCAAGAAGTCGGTCGAGAGCACTAGCGCCTTGCTGTTCGGGTAACGCTCGCTGAGCAGCGTCAGGTAGACGTTGATCGCGTCCGCGTTCAAGTTCAGCGAAAGCTCCGGGTGCAAGTGCGCAGGCGGCTGTACGTGCGCCGCGCGCGCGCCGCTGCGCAGACAGTAAAGCAGCGAGCGCGTCAGAAACTTGAAGCGACTGTTCACGTACTTGACGCCGTCGGAGCGTGCCAGCTGCGCCTCGTCGAAGTAGTGGTCGAGCAGGCGCTCTGGGAAGCCGAGGTCCGCGTCGCCGACCACCCAGTGGTCGAGCGCGACCTCCGCGGCGGCACACTCGCGGAGCTCCGGCGCACGCTTCGCGAAATAGCCGCTCGAGAGCTCCGAGCGCGTGACGAGCACTTTGAGGCTCAACAGCTCGTGGACCACGTAGCGTGCGGCGCCCGACAACCGCGCTAACTCCTGCGGCGCGATGCACAGCGCGCGCAAGTTGTCCAAGTCGGGTACGAGGATGTAGTCGTACTTCAGCAGCTCTTGGAAGAAGAAGTTTTTGACGTCGCGTAACGCCGCGAGGTCCGCCGGCTCGCCGACTGCCGGCTGCGCGCGCTGGGGAGCTGCGCCCTCCTCCTGCGCGCGCGAGTACTTGTAGAGGACCGAGGCGCGCTGCCCGCAGCGCGCAGGCTTGTTCCCGGCGCGCGAAACCCTGTCTCCGCCAGGTCGTTCTCCGGACTGCTCGCCGGGTTTGTCGCTGCCCGACTTGCTAAACCAAAATTCCGAGCGCGCCCCGCGAACATTCGCTGCGCGCTCGAGCTTCGAAGGTTCCGCGTGCGCGCGCGCGCGCTTTTCATTCTTCTTCATCAAGCGCAGCGGCTTGGCAGGCGCTGCCGGCTTGTTGCTCGCGTTCTGCCGCGCGCGAATGAGCGTGTCGAGGTCCGTCGTCTCCAGCGCGTCAGCGTGCAGCGGCGCTCTGCCGGCCGCCGCTCCGGCGCTTTCTCCGTGACTCGGCACTCCGAAACTCATGCACAGCCCCTGCTAGGCGTGTCGAGCATTTTGCCTTTAATAAGCGTAAAAAGAGAAGAATATAATTTCGCATCCGCTCTGCCATGCAATCCGCGTCGTCTGCCGCGAGCGCACAGCCAGGCAATTTGCGCAACGTGCTCTGCTTTTCGAATCTGCCCAGCGGGCTCGAGAGCGCCGAGCTCCGCGCCTGGCTGTCGCAGTTTGGCCGCGTAAACGCCATCGCGTTCCGTCGCAGCCCGAAGACCGGCCGACCCGTCGGTCTAGCGTTCGCGAGCATGGCCAATCCGCGCGTCGCAGAGCTCATCGCCACGAAGTTCCCGAGTTGTATGCTGTTCCACAAACGCATGCGCATTCGACTCACCGACATCTCGCCGGACAAATTCAAAGCGCTGCTGAGCACTTTTCGCCACGAGCAGCGCGTCGCGCTGCGTAAAGATCTTTTGCGCGCGAAACTCGCGAAACTCGCGCCGGCCGACGCTCTTTCGAGCCGCGCTCGCGAAAAGTTCGAGCGCGCAGGCGTTGTCCTCTCTGTCGCACCCGCCACGCAGCTAGATCTCCCGGCGTTGCGTGCAGAGGCGCAAGCGATCCGCGACCGAGTCGCCGCCCAGCGCGCCGCTTAGTAGTGCGCTACTGCTGCGACACCGCGGTTGCCGAGTTTCCGCTCAGCTCTGCATCAATTTTCTGCAACGCCTGTGTGTTCGCTTCGATTTGCTCGACCTCCGTCGCAAGGATCGTCTGCAACTCTTCGACCGCCTCGAGCGCGCTGTCCGTGTGGCTCAACAGCTCCTGCAGCTCTTCCACTTTCTGCAGGTGCAGCGCCGAGCGCATCTGGTTTTTGAGCAGCGAGTAAGCGTTGCCCTCGCCTTTCGCGCTCTCCACCTGCAGCTCCGAATTCCGCAACTTTTTCTGCAGTTCGATCTTTCGGCTCTCGCCCTGGATTTTCTCCGCCTCGAGCCGGTCAACGTCGGCGCGGAGTTGCTGAAGCACTTGGAGGTCAGACTGCATCGTTTTACGTGTAGATTTTGCGCGCATGCACATGCGCCGCCGCCGCGGCTGCGCCGCGAACGGAGTAATTAAATATTAATTCATTCTTTGCGTGAGAAGCACGATGTTCAGCTGCAAGTAAGTGCGCCTGAGCGTTACGCAGAAGCGAGTACGACCGGAACAGCAACTTGTTCAGCCCGCACGGGCGGCTCATCCAGGTTGAGTACGCGATGAACAGCGTAGCCGTAAGTGAAGCCGTGTGCAACGCAGCTCGGCTTGACCGCCATCGGCATCCGCACAAACGAAGGCGTGGTGCTCTGCAGTGAGAAAGGCTACACGAGTCCGTTGATCAACGAGGAGTGCGATTTGCGCAAAATCGAGAACATTAGTGACTACTGCGTCTGCGCGAGCGCGGGCTACATCGCCGACTCGCGCATTTTACTGCAGTGCGGCCGCGTGGAAGCGGTGAACCACTGGTTCACCTACGACGAGCCGATGCGCATAGCATCCATCGTCGACGCGATGTGCGAGACCGCCGCTAGCTTCAGCAAGATCGGCGACGCGAAGCGGCAGATTACGCGGCCACTCGGCGCCGCGTTTTTGGTAGCGGGTTTTGAGCCAGACGAAGGCAGCACGGTGTTCATGATCGACCCCGGCGCCTGTCCGATTAAGCGCTACGCCGTCGCGATCGGAGCCGGCAAGCAAGCGGTCGAAGCGCTGTTGAAGGAGCAGTATCGCCGCGATATGTCGCTCGCCGACGCGACAGTACTCGCTCTCTCCTGTCTGCGCGAAGTTATGGAGCAAAAGATTTCGGAGAAAAACATCGAGCTCTGCGTGATCAACGCGCCGCACAACGGCATCAAGCATTACGACAAAGAAGAACTGAAGCCGTGGCTTTCTCAGCTGCCTCATCGCGAGATTGACTCACTGCAGTCGTAGCGCCTGGAGACGCGCCGCGCCGCTGCGAGCTCCGACGACCATACCGGATAGCTTGCCGCACGCATTCTGACGTCCGCGTCACTGAGCTGGCCCTCGCGCCGTGCCACCTGCGCAACCATCCACCTTCACGCGGCAGTTTTACGGCGCACTGCTGCGTCGCACTGCTGCGTCGCACTGCTGCGTCGCACTGCTGCGTCGCGTTTTTGCCTCAACCGCACTGCGAAACGTGCTTCAATGTGTCTTTCGTAGCCAAACACCGCGTCGTTGCAACAGCAGCGCCAGGCGCTACGCGCCTCGCACGATTATGGCGTGAAAGGTGAAGTTATCGTCGCGCGCACTGCGTCCTCAGGTGACAATCCAGCGTATGCGCGGCGCGGAACCTCGCGCAGCAATGCCGTGAAGCGCTCACGCACCTCTTCCAGCGAGGTGCCGTCCAGACAGCGCTTGATCGTGCTCGACATTTTGCGCCGCGCGTCGAGGTAAAGCAGCGGCACCACCACCAGCGATAAGGCGGGGAGGCCCGCGGCCGCGCGCATCCGCTGGATCGCAACGCCGCCCTTCACAGTTTCTTCACTGACGACAAGCAAGCGCAACTCGCACATCTGCTCCGCAACGCCTAGCCCGCGCTCGTCGAGCGCGTGCATCTCGAACCGCACCGATGCGCGCAGCCTCGTGTTCAGGAACAGGTCGCCGCCTAAAGTCGCAAAGCCCAAACTTTTCAGCAGCAGCGTCACGCAACTGCGCAGCGCCGCGGCGCGCGCCGCGAAGCTCAGTCCCATTAGCGCGGCCATCTCGTTTTTCGCGCGGAGACTGCTGTCCGGCATCAGCCCGACCACTAACGTGCTCAGCTCGCCGCTCTCCAACCGCAGCCTTTGCAGCCCGCAAAACAGCATTAAAAGGTGGCCCTCGTGAATGTGGTCGAACGAGCCGCCTAGCGCCACCGTCGAGCTACGCGCAAACAACGCGCGCGGCGCTACGGGCGACACTGCGCAACGCTCGCCTATCCGCACTTCAGTAAACTCTAGTACGAAGTCGTATTTGCGCATCGCAAACGAGCCGCACGCACAGATACTCATCGCATCAAGCCACTCACCGAGGCGCTGCTCCGCACTCGCGCCTCGCGCGTCCATGAATTCACACGCAATTAAGCACTTCTTTGGGAGCAGCTGTCTAAACCGCTCGGCCAAAGCCTTCAGCAAAGAAACGTCTAGGTACGCGGGGCACGACAGCAGCAGCAGCACAAGGTCGTTGCGACGCATGACCAACGTCGCGAGCTCCGGCTGCAACTCGAGCGCGCTGCTCCAGTCGATCAACTTCGGGTCAAACAGCAAGACGCGCGCCGCTAGGAACACATTGCGGCCGAGGTCCGCACCGAGCTGCCGCTCGCTCATAGGCTCTTGTACGTGCTTTGGTTCATCTTCTTTAGATAGTTCTGGTACACCGACACGCCGACGTATACGCCTGCAGCGAAGCTTAGCAGCGCAACGATTAGATATTGAGAATTTGAAATCGGATAAATCGAACTGAAAATTTCGAGCCCGGTCTTAACTTTGTTCAGGTCGATGTCGGGAATTTCGCTGCTCATGTCGTTCGCTTGGTTGCTTCGATTTCGGATCTAGGTGCGCTCGCACTTTCTGATCTGCTTGGGATATGCCAGCACCAACCACCCGATTTTTGTACGCGCATAATTGGCGGCGTAGCGCAACTTTCACGCAGAACTTTTTTATAGCGCAAACTTCAAGCAATGTGGCGCGCAATCTTTCTGTTGGCGCTCGCATCGACGGCGAACTACTTCGACGACGTCAAATACGTACCGCAGCTGTCGTTTCCGGACCAACTAGATTCGACGGAGTTGCTGCCGCAGTTCTCCGCGGCGGCGACTGATCAGCTCAACCACGTGTACGCGCTGAACCGCAAAATGCTTGACCTCGACTTGTTCAATGCCGCGAACGTGGCGACCGATACGTCGTTCAAGATGCTCAACAAGGTCTGTGTCGTGCGCGGCCGCGACGCGCAGCATCAGCACGGGTTGATCGGCTCTTATAAAGGCAAGCCGTACTACAAGCCAAATGTCGATCCAGGACCGCTCGCAGAGTATCCCGGCGGCGAAGACGCCGCGCTATCGGTGGGCGGCTTCTACCAGATGCTTAGCGACGCGCTGCCACTGGACCGTGCGCCGCCAGACCAGCGCAGCGCGGAATGCAAGGCTGTCAAGTACGACCTCGAGAAACTTAGCGACGTCTCGGTAATCATCACGTTCTACAACGAGCCGTTTTCAACCCTTTTCCGCACTGTGCACAGCGTGCTGAACCACACGCCGCCGGAACTTTTGCGTGAAATCATTTTGGTCGACGACGGCAGCAACTTCGTGTTCCACTCGCAGTTCGACGAGCACGCGACGCACCTAGACTATCACTACTACGAACTGATCCGCCGCTACATCGACTACTTGCCAAAGGTGCACCTCACTCGGCTGGCGCGCCGCCAAGGACTCGTCAAAGCCCGCATGGCCGGCATCAACCAGGCGACCGCCGACGTCTTTATGATCCTCGACAGCCACGTCGAAGTAGGCGAGGGCTGGCTCGAGCCTATACTGCAGACCATCCACGACGATAACGACGCTCTGGTCATCCCCCACATTTACTCGATCTCTGCTAAGGACTTCAGCTATCTCACCAATTCCGGGATCGGCTGCCAGATCTCATTCAAATGGGACATGACCGAGCTAAGTTCGTTTGAGCAAAGTTACCCGGGCGTGACGCCGATTTTATCGCCGTCGCTTTCGGGCGGGCTGTTTGCGGTACACAAAGAGACGTTCTTGCGCCGCGGCGCGTTTGACATGAACTTCGAAGGCTGGGGCTCGGAGAACGTCGAGCTCGGCTTTCGCTGGTGGATGTGTGGCGGCAAGGTGTACTGCGCGCCGTGTTCCAAGACGTACCACGTTTTCCGCCAGAATGGTAAGGGTTATGTAAGTCTGCCAAACTCTGTGCAACGAAACAAACATCGCACCGTCGCTTCCTGGCTCGACAAGGATTACGCTGCGCTCGCGAATCTGTTCATCGCCCCCACCGATGAGCACAACGTCGGCAGCCTCGAAGCGGTCGAGCGTTTGAAGAAGGAACTCCACTGCAAAAATTTCAGTTGGTACATGAAAGAACTTGCGCACCACAAGAGTCTGCCCGCGTCGCTGCTCCACCGTTACCACTACTACATGGAGTACAACAAGATCTTTTCTGTTGGCGAGATCAAAATCGGCACAGAGTGCCTCGACACCATGCAAAAGGGCTCGATTGGCAACAAAATTGGCGTGTTCCCATGCCACGGACTGGGCGGCACGCAGAACTGGATCACGTTCCGCCACGACGACGCCCTCGTGCTCGTAGCTTCTAACTATTCGCAGTTCGTAATCAACCCAGACTTCGAGTTCGCCAGTAGCGACGTGCAAAAGACGGTGGGCATTTGGCAGTTCCAAAGCGACCAAAAGCTGTACAACACGGTGAAAAAACAATCCGTCGACTTCGACCTAAGCGACCGCGAGCTAAAGTACGTCGACTGCGCCGTTGCGCGCGCGTGGCAGTACACGCCGCACTTCAATTAACCGCGCTGCTGCGATACGGACAGTTTTTCGAACGTTGTCTGTAAGATGCGCCGAATGTTCGCGCAGCGATTCTGCCGCTCGATGCGGCTGATGCGCTGCACCGCAATGGGCACATTCTTAAGAGGCACAGCGCCGTCCTCCGCCGCGTTGGGCTCCGACTTGCCCGCGCTCGGCAGTCCGTAAGGTGCGTGCGTTATTCTGCGTCCGCGGGGCGCACACTTACTGGTAGGGGTGGTTCGGGTCGCGGGCGCGCAACTCTGCGTTTTTTCGCACTGCAGCAGCCGCGCACGTGTGGTTGATCAGCCGCATCACGAAAAAGCGCGTTCCCGCGCTGTCTTCGTCTTGCAGCGCGCGCGTCGGCGGGTCTAGATGCAGCTCTTTGCGGATGTAGGTGCGCACGCCGTATTCGTTTAAAAGCTCGGGCGTGCTCGTCACGATCACGGAGCACCGTCTGTCGTACTCCGCAGAATGCGCGAGGTCTTTGGCCGGCTCTTGCAGACACACACGGCACGCGACGTGCGCGACCGTCACGTACGCCAGATGAAGAAACTCGTTAGCGGCGTCCGCGGAGTTGAACACGAGCCGGCAGTAGCGAGTTGTGCTGTGCGGGTACCTAAACGACGAAGAGCGCAACTTACTCGAAGAGCACGAGCTTTTCCACGTGACTGCCAAAGCTCGAGCCGTCTTTCATCCGCAGCGGCTGCAGCGCCGCACGAATCTCCGGCTCCGCCGCGAGTTCGCCAACGTACTGCAAGTAAGCGACCCGGCTCATGAATCAGTGCCTCCGCGAGCAAAATTCACGGTTATTAAATTATACGAGAGCGATTTTCCATGCGCTTCTCTGTGTATCCGCCCGAGCCCTCTTTTAGTTGCGTGTAACACTGCCTTCTGCACCGTGCCGCAGCGCCGAGCGCCAGCAACGGCGAAGTTGCGCAATAATTATTTACCAAAATTGCTCGAGCCATGGGCGAAAGCGCCTTCCTAGGATTCGTCGCGAGTCGCTCGAACAAGGGCTACATGATCGACCTGCCTAGCCGGCGAAAAGGATTTTTGGCATTTGCGGACTCGTACGACGCGCGTTTCGCCCCCGAGTTCTCGCCAGCGCTCGGCCTCGCGCACGGCCAGCAGGTCGTTTTGCGGCAAAAGCCGCTGGCCACTGGCTTTGACGCGCAACTACTCCACCTCACCATGCTGCCGGAACAACTGAACGCGCCCTTTAGTTGGGCAAACCCTCCCAGCAAGAACCAGTTTTTAGTAGTTAGTGTCAAGAGCGTGGAGACGCACGGCTGGCTCGCCAGTCTTGCAGAGTCCGACGACGCAGGAGAGCCTGTCACCGTATTCGTAAAGCAGCAAACCGAGAACGCGCAGCTCGTCGCTGGCCAGATTCGCTTGGTCGTGGTAGACGCAGTGCGCGAAGAGTCACGCATTCTCACGTGCATCCCGCCGCAGGGTCGCTACTTGGCGCACAGCGCGATTTTGGATCTCCCTAAGCTAATCCCCGGTTCGGTGGTCGAGTGCCGCACCGTCGCGATCCGCGACACTCAGCTCGTCACGGCAGACGACGACGGCGTGCCGCGCAAAATCATCAAGAACAAAAACGGACAGCGCTCTACCCCGCACACTCAGCAAAAGCACAAACACTCTTTCTTCTTCGAGCACGACGGAGTCGAAGTCAGCTTCTGCAACGCGTTTTCTGGCGTGATTGACGCAGATCACGCGCACTATGCGCTGTACCGCCCAGACCCGCTTGCTAAAAGCGCATTTCGCTGCGCAACCTTCCCTTACAAAAGCGCGCCGCGCGCCTCCACCAGCGCAGCCGTGTGCCCGAACTTCGAAAAGTATAAGGACGAGGGGTTTCTAGCAAGGGTCGTTGCGGTGACCACCAGCAACTCGCGGCCCGCGAAGATCGCACTCTCTGTGCTGCCGCACGTCGTGCACGGCGCAACGCCGCAACATTACATTGACCGCATCGCGGCGTCTAACATCACTACCGACTTTGAGAGCAATTTGTTTGTGGCGCAGCGCCACGCCGCCAGAGGCATCTACTTCGCGAAGTGCGAATTGCCCGATGCAGCGAAAGTCGCACGCGGCGAAGCTGAGTTCGACAATGAGCTCGCCGGCAACGCCGCCGATGCTTGCATCCTGTACCACTGCAAGCTCAAAGACTTAGCCGACGCTAACCCCGCACTGCAACTCGCCTCGCTGAGCAGCGGGCCGCACACGGCGCGCGTGATCGGTGGGAACCTCTGCAGCTTGACCAAGCTCGTCACGCTGCGCACAAACCGCATGGCACAGGATGTGATTCTGAGTGCCACTGACTGTCGCGTCGGCATGAAGCTCAGGGGCGTCGTGCAAAAAGTCTCCGCCGAGCACGCGCTCGTGCGGCTCTCTGCGAGCTACACTGCGCTGCTGCCGTTTCTGCAAACTTCAGACCTGCCCTCCCGCAGGACCTTCAACTTGAAATTCAAGGAGGGAAGCGAGATAGACGTAATGGTTTTCGCCACGCAGGCGCCGACGAACAAAGTATTTCTCACCGCCAAGAAGAGCTACCTCGCGCTCGAAGCTGCTGCGCTAGCGCAGCACTGCGAGCCGCTCGCTGTCGGCGTTTCCTACGTCTTCACAGTGGCGAAGCATTGTGAGAAGGGGCTGCTCTGCAAAACGCTGGGTGACAAGTTCGCTTTTCTGCCGAGCCGAGACATAGAGCTGAACTACTTCGCGAACTCGCAGCCGGACTCAGACGCGCTCTGCATGCAGAAGTACGCGCGAACCAAGGCGTTCAGCGTTGGCAGCGTGCTCCGCTTGTTTATCGTCAAAACCGAAGTTGCGACAGCGCCGGGCGCGCCGCAACACTCACTCGCCTCCTTCAAGCCGCCGTCGGCGCGCAGAGCGCTACCAGCAGAGAACAGCGTTGAGATTGACGAGAAGCTGCCGATAGCAGAGATCGCGCAACGCCTCTTAGACAGCTTCGCAGATCGCACAGTCATCGAAGCTACGGTGACGCACGTCAGCTCGGTGCAGCCGCTGCTGTACGTGCGACTACCGGGCAACTTGCTCGCCGAGCTACACGCGTTGCTAGCCGCGAACGAGCTGCACGACGGCGAGTGCATCCTGCAGCGATTCAACGTCGGCGACTCGGTGGCTGTAAAACTGTGCGGCGCGGCTCGAGAACCCAGCGCCAAACGCCGCCTCTACTTGCGTTGTGCGGAAGCTTCGCTCGACCCGGAACTGCGGCTGCTGCGCAGCGCAGACATCGCCGAAAGCCTCAAAGTGATGGATTTCGTGCCACACTGCGTGATCCGCCACGTGTCGCCGAAAGGCATCCTCGTCGATCTCACCGCTTCTACTAGCGCACGTATCATGTTTCGCGACTTTCGCGGTTACGACGCCGAGCCAATGCTCTCGCGGCTACGACAAGACCCGGCCGCGATCGCGGAACTCGCCGCGGCGCTTCCTGTCGGAAAAGTCCTCACCAACCTGCGCGTCTGCGCTGTGGACAAAGCGCACCGACGCGTCAGCCTCACACTGCAGCAGCAGTTCGTTTCTGGAACTGAGCGCATCATCACGTGGGATGATTTGCGACCTGGCGCTGTGCATTCCGCCATTGTCAAGGGTATGCACCCTTTCGGCGCGATCCTCACCCTCGAACACAGCTTCAACCTCGATGTGCTGTGCACAACCGCCGACTTATACGACGATCCGCAGTCCGCCTCGCAGTACGAACCCGGCGACTTGGTGCTCTGCAGAGTGCTGCGCGTGAATCGCGCCAAGCAGCGCTGCTGCGTTGGACTCAAAGGCTCTTATTTCCGAGACGCTCCTGAAATAGACGCCGTACTCTGCGATACTCCTTCTGCTGCAGACGCGAAAAACACGCAGACGCCCGAGTTCTTCACGCCCCGCGAAAACCACGAAGACGACGTCCGCACTGCTGAGCCCGAAGCGTCAGAGTTCTCTTCTCTCGACAGCTCCGATTCGAACCGTGCGTCTGACGCGGATCTAGACGACGCGGCTGCCGCAACGGATCCAGCAAACTTCGCGCCGCCGGAGTCTGAGGAACAGCAGCCGTGCTGCGGTGAGGGCAACAGTCTTCTGGTCGAAGACGCCGCCGACGCGAGTGCGGTGGATGACACTGCCTCTGCTAAGGCTGCCGGACCGCTGACGCAGAGTAGCGAACGACTGCGAGACCTTATCGCCGAAGTCACACGCTGCTTAGAAGCTGACAATTGGAAGCTCGCGTTGTCCACCGCAAAGCGCGGCCTCGCGAATTTCGAATTTGCAGACCGGCTGGAGCTCGCCAAGGTGATAGTGAACCTTG